ATTCTCATTGTCATCTTCTTCACCAGCATTGTCTTCTCCATAAACATCATCTCTGGCATCGTCTTTTCATGAACATCGTCTGGTCCATAAGTTTAGTCTTCTGTTAGAGCATTGTCTTCTCTATTAGGCATTGTTTTCCTCTTCATAAGCATTGTCTTCTTCTTCTCCAGTATTGTCTTCTCCATAAACATCATCTCTGGCATCGTCTTTTCATGAACATCGTCTGGTCCATAAGTTTAGTCTTCTAATTAGAGCATTGTCTTCTCTATTAGGCATTGTTTTCCTCTTCATAAGCATTGTCTTCTTCTTCTTCAGTATTGTCTTCTCCATAAACATCATCTCTGGCATCGTCTTTTCATGAACATCGTCTGGTCCATAAGTTTAGTCTTCTGTTAGAGCATTGTCTTCTCTATTAGGCATTGTTTTCCTCTTCATAAGCATTGTCTTCTTCTTCTTCAGTATTGTCTTCTCCATAAACATCATCTCTGGCATCGTCTTTTCATGAACATCGTCTGGTCCATAAGTTTAGTCTTCTAATTAGAGCATTGTCTTCTCTATTAGGCATTGTTTTCCTCTTCATAAGCATTGTCTTCTTCTTCTTCAGTATTGTCTTCTCCATAAACATCATCTCTGGCATCGTCTTTTCATGAACATCGTCTGGTCCATAAGTTTAGTCTTCTAATTAGAGCATTGTCTTCTCTATTAGGCATTGTTTTCCTCTTCATAAGCATTGTCTTCTTCTTCTTCAGTATTGTCTTCTCCATAAACATCATCTCTGGCATCGTCTTTTCATGAACATCGTCTGGTCCATAAGTTTAGTCTTCTAACTATTAGAGCATTGTTTTCTCTATTAGGCATTGTTGTACTCTTCATAAGCATTGTCTTCACAAATGTTATTGTCTTCAATATTAATTTTCAATATCCTTTTGTAAATGAATTTTGTTACCGTCATTATTTCCACATTTTTTATCTTTATCCATATATTTGTTTACTCTTTACACTATATAAATCTATTTCTCAACATGTGTGCTATTCTGGAAAAGGTCAACACAATTATTTGTGCAGTATTGGGATTACTTTACACCCTTCAAGCTTTCTTCCAACATTAAGCTGACATACTGTGATAAAACTGAAATACTGGCCTTTTGTGCATGTGAAAGTCATCTTTGATAGCTCCACCATATTGTTTCCGCATGGACGCCTCTCTCAATCAAGCTGGTCTAATGAAATTGGGGACTATATTAAGCACTAACAATTTAGGAACTGTTGAAGTCACTGCTGGAAAGCTAAGTTATTTGTTATGATATGAAATATAAGCACACCTTTTGTATGGTAGATAGGACATACCGTGTCAGATTTGTGTTCATGTTATTTTTGTGGAAGTGTTATCAGAATACAAAGTCATGTAGTCATGGATGTCTCAATATTTCTTCAAGTATTTGTAAAAAACAACAATCCTAGTTATGTTTCACCAGTCAAAAAAGCAGGTAATTTGTGATAAAGCAAGAATTGTGAGATTTTCCAACTGTTATAAAAGACTCGTGTGGTATCTGATAAATAGATCTGTATAGTTGGTGATGACATAATAATAATAATAATAATGATAATAATAATAATAACATCATGATGATAAGAGGCAGCTTCTCATGGAGATTAATTCCATGTCAGTAGATATATTCATCACACTTCTATTCTCAGCTTCCTGGGAAGTATACAGCCCAAGTCTGTTTGATGTTAGAAGGTTTTACATTCACATAGCCATTCCATCTTATCAGGTACCTGTTCACATTTCCACCCCATCCTGGCCCTGTAATGGGGGAGGTGGGGTAGCCTAGTGGTTAAAGCGTTCGCTCGTCACGACAAAGACCCGGGTTCAATTCCCTACATGGGCACAATGTGTGAAGCCCATTTCTGATCTCCTCCGCTGTGATATTACTGAAATATTGCAAAAAGCGGTGTAAAACTAAACTCATTCACTCCCTCACTTTGCTACTGTGTGAACAAGGGCAACTTTTGACAGTCCACATATCTATTATGAACTGTGAGGCTGTATCATCATCATGGCCATTTTTTCAAATCTTTATGTGTGCATGGATATGGTGGTATTTCTTGGATCCTGCAAAAATACTTGCATCGTTAAGTCTGAATATGGACATGGTTGAAACACATAATTATAGACTAGAATAGAACCCTAGTAAAGTCTTATCAGAGTTAACAAGTTGATTGAGTGGTCACTCTTTGTAGTGTAATACATTGAACATTATGTTAACCTAGTGGTTTGCTCACAATATCAACCCCCAGTTTAATTGGTCCACATGTGATTGTAATATCACTACAATATTGAAGTAACAATGAAACTTGAAGGAATTGCGTCAAGAGAGGATATCATTCACCTTTCACTGAGGGTGTACTAGTAATAAGTCTTCGGTATTTGATATCATTGGTTTGTGTGTCGTTGGTAGTCATTTCATTATGGTGGCCATATTGACTGTTGACTTTTGGGAGCAAGGGTTAAGATTTAATATCATGTTCAATGTCAAGTCAATTCTGTCAAACAGACCCAGAAATACAGTCACCCCTTGCAGTCATGCCCTTTGGGATATCGTGGTTTCGGTTAAAATGTGGGGTAATCTGTGGCTCCCATAAACAAACAAAGTTTGCATCACATAACAAGAGGGATGACTGTAATACAGCCCATGCAAGTATAGATATGTATCAAGTCTAGATTTCCACATCTGAAAATGAAGAAAGTCTATTGGCTCCATTTTGTAACATTTTATCAATATGATTAAAGAACCTTTTTCTGCAAAACATGTTCATTTCACAGACTAGATGTTAGTCTGTCAAATATTTGGGAGTAGTTTGTGCAGAGCGGAAGGTCGCGGGTTCGATCCCTGACCGCGTCATACCAAAAGACGTTAAAATATGGTACTTTTTGGTCCCTGCCTGGCACTCAGCATTAATGGGTACAACAAGGACTGGTCGGCTCGGAGTCAGTATAATGTGTCTGAGTGGGGTATTCATGCTTCACTGCGGCATGGTATCTCAGTGGGCTAGCACTATAAAACCAGCTTCAGTCTGGGCTAGTACAAGCAGCCGCACACACACATACACCCGCATGCACGTGGTCATATGAGCGAAATATTCTCAAGCACGACGTTAAACCCAGTTTCACCTCACCTCAACTTGTGCAGGATGGGAGATTTTATGGGTGCTTCATCTACCACCAAACTCTCCAGGACCAGTTTATATGAGACTGGTTCAGGTTGGAACATAGACTAACAACTAGTCTCTGAAATGAACATATTTTACTGAAAAAAGTTCATAGTAAAAAAATATAAAATATAATGAAAAGGAGCCCTGAGACCTTCTTCATTTTCAGAAGCTGAGGAAATCTAGACTTGCCACATTTTCTAGACTTGTGTGGGCTTTCTTGGATATATTTGCTTCAGGGTCTGTACGAGAGACTAGTTGGATCAATGAACATACAGTCACCACACATGGGCACTAGCCTGATATAATGCCAATCTATAATTATTGTTATATTAATTGGTATATTTAATAGTTACTATTTAACATCAGCGGAATGTTATTTCTACAATAAGGGCTCTGTTTGTCTGACTTGTTTGACTTGTCTTGTTAGACTTTGTCATGAAATAATTCCTACTGGTCGTGTATTATAACCCTTTGTCATGATATCTTATACCTAGCATCAGGGGGATAACCAGCTGTCTCTTAACGTGATAACCCTTGATCTTGATATGATAACCTTGGTTTTGATATGATAATCCTTGGTCTTGATATGATAACCTTTATCTTGATCTTGATATGATAACCCTTGATCTTGATATGATAATCCTTGTCTTGGTCTTGATATGGTCTAATCCCTTGGTCTTGATATGATAACCCTTGGTCTTGATATGATAACCTTGGTCTTCATATGATGATAATCCTTATAACCCTTGTTCTTGATATGATAACCCTTGTTCTTGATATGTCTTGATATGATAATCCTTGATCTTGATATGATAACCTTGGTCTTCATATGATAATCCTTGGTCTTGGTCCTTGGTCTTGATATGATAACCCTTGATATGTCTTGATATAATAATCCTTGGTCTTGATATGATAATCCTTTATCTTGATATGATAACATTGGTTTTGATACGATAACCATTTGTCTTAGTATGACAACTCTTGAGCTTGATATGATAACCCTTGGGCTTGATATGATAACCCAAGGATGTGATATGATACTCACTGATCATCGGATTGTCTCATCATTCCATATCTACTTTTTATGATATGATATGCTTTCAAGATGATATGATATCCACTCATTGTGATATGATATGCTGTCTATGTGATATGACTTCCAATGCTAGTGATCCACTGCCTATGTGATATGACTTCCAATGCTGGTGATATAATGCCTTCTATATGATATCATATCCACTATTCATAAAACTATATAAACTCGATATGATATATGATATCAATTCCTCTTGAATATGCTGTCCTCAGGATACAGGGGTCGATTTAAGATAGGTTAACCTACTTGCACCAGATGCAACCTGAGATAAAAACCTAGTTGCACCAGCCAAATTCCAGTTGCACTGCTTTTTTGGCAAAATGTCAGGCAAGAAATATGCTATTAAATTATTCAAAGGTTAAAAGAAAAATGAGCTGACATAATTATGCCTATAATGTTAGATTTATTGTTGATTTATTTTTCAAAAATTAACTTGCCCATGGTGCAAGTAAGACTTATAACTAGGTTGCACTTTGTAATATTGGGTTGCACCAGTGTAAGTAACAAAGCACTAAATCGAGCCCTGGGATATGATATCATTATATGATGCTCAAGTGTTATGTAACTATCAAACTATACACATTGTTTTCTAAGGTTGAACAAACCGTCATGAAACATGTGTTCTTGAGAATGTATGATCACCTGAACTCGGTACCACCTTCCTGAACTGTGTGTTTTGTTCCTGCAGACCTAGGCGAGGTTCATCCGGCCCCCACGGCCATGGACTGCTGTCCCATGCATCACAGCAGTCCCCACAGCATCACCATATGCAACAGCTGTCCCCCAGCGGCAACAAGCTGCAAGGTGAGTGAGTGAGTGAGTGATCAACAGCTGTCCCCCAGCAGCAACAAGCTGCAGGTTGAGTGAGGGTGTGAGTGAGTGAGTGAGTGATCAACAGCTGTCCCCCAGCGGCAACAAGCTGCAAGGTGAGTGGAGTGAGTGAGTGATCAACAGCTGTCCCCCAGCGGCAACAAGCTGCAAGGTGAGTGAGTGAGTGAGTGATCAACAGCTGTCCCCCAGCGGCAACAAGCTGCAAGGTGAGTGAGTGAGTGATCAACAGCTGTCCCCCAGCAGCAACAAGCTGCAAGGTCAGTGAGTGAGTGAGTGAGTGAGTGATCAACAGCTGTCCCCCAGCGGCAACAAGCTGCAAGGTGAGTGAGTGAGTGATCAACAGCTGTCCCCCAGCGGCAATAAGCTGCAAGGTGAGTGAGTGGGGTGAGTGAGTGATCAACAACAAGCTGTGAGGAAAGCTAAGTGAACTATTTGTTGAGTGAGTGGTAGGACAAGCGAGTGAGTGAGTGAGTTGAGTTTTACGCCACACTCAGCAATATTCCAGCTATATGGCGTCAGTCTGTAAATAATCGAGTCTTCAGACAATCCAGTGATCAACAGCATGAGCATCGATCTGTGCATTTGGGAACCGATGACATGTGTCAACCAAGTCAGTGAGCATGACCACCCAATCCCGTTTGTCGCCTCTTACGACAAGCATGGGTTACTGAAGATCAATATTCTAACCTGGACCTTCATGGGTAACAGGCGAGTGAGTTAACAGGTGAGTTGGAGGATGGTTGAGAGAGAGAGTGTGAGAGAGAGAATAAATGAGTGAATGAGTTGATAAATGAGTGATTGCATCATGGTGAGTATTGCATCCAACATTGCTTTTGACAATAATTCAAGAAGAAGCCAGGTTCAATGCTACTCTAAAAAAGTATTTTAGAATGACAACAAAGGCTTTTCTTTTGAAAGTACTTCAGTCAAACTGTGTCAGGTTAGTGTAAAAATATGTCTAAAATTGTGTGGGGTCTAGATGTTTATGTGAATACAGAAGGAAGGTCATATAACATTCATCATAATCTCAACAAATGCTGGATCGTTTGACTCCAGCCCTTCCAAGGGAGACAACTCTCCATTGCCAACTCTCCACTGTGCTAGAGAAACTGATACACTCCTATAGTCTGTACGATCTACGATCATAGTTTCAAATCGCTATTATTGGTTTGTATTACAAGGGAGTAAACGCAGTAATTGGAACAGTGATACAAATGCACGTGCAGTACGTGATGAGCGTTAACTTAGACCAACCCTACTTGTTCTCGGTGTTTCATTTAATGTGCATACCCCCCTTGTAATACAAACCAATAATAGCGATTTAAAACTATGATTGTTTGTTAAACAAGTTTTATCCTAAGTTGAATAAAATTCTGAGATTTAAATGTTCAATTGGCAAGGTAAAATCATGAGGATTCGCACTTCTAATTTCTCTTTATTTGATTTACGTTTTTGTTTAAAGTGAAATTCATCGGTACGTTTTCACTGCAAACAGACTATAAGTGGTAGGGAAACTACAGCTGGTTAGGCTAAGTTTTCAGTGAATATTTGTTTGATACTTTCCTCATCATATACTCCCTGAGTAACTTTATCACGATATCCTGTAACTTCATCACTCAAATAACTGAAGAGATAAATCCGCCCGCTCACAGCAATCAAAACCAAAAATGAATGAAGGGAAACAACTCTTGAATGACTGTATATCCATTAAGGTACATTTTTCAGAGATTAGAAATAATTATCAAAGATAAGAAACAGATAAATTCTGTTTGATGATATATTAATAACATTTGATGTGTTTTATCCCTACTGACACGTGGAGGAAATCGTTTCAGTACATAGCATTAACAGGATGAAGTAAGTTTGTGAGTCATAGCTTAATGAATTCATTAATGAACATGCTTTTGATTGGATGAGTGGATAATGTGAGTTAAAATACGGATCATGCTGTAGAATTAAAGATTCCAGTACAATGATTCATGCTACTGAAGGTTAAACTTGTATGATTCATTGCTGAGGCAGGTGCTTGAATCATGAATTACTTTCTTTGTTTGTATCATTGATGAATAAGTCAGCCTCCCCTAGGACTGACTGACTGAGTTTTGGTTTTACGCTGCTTTTAGCAATATTCCAGCAACATCGCGGCGGGGGACACCAGAAATGGGCTTCACACATTGTACCCATGTGGGGATTCGAACCCGGGTCTTCGGCGTGACGAGCCAACACTTTAACCATTAGGCTACCCCACCCCCCCCCTAGGAGTAAAACACCTGCAGCAAATCATATTGATGAGCAATAATTGTTTCACCTTCTGTTTGTTTTTATTTTTAAGAAAAATCATATGACATACGTGTGAAATATTAACAAATATTTGGCCTCTCAGGTTGACTTTGAAAAGTATGTTTTTAAATCTGAATGATATGGAAATGTTCTTTGTTTTCTGACAGTTCTTGCTTCTCACAGGTTTTTATATTGAAAGGGAAGCATGAATGGAGGAAGTTATTTTATTTATTCAAATTCTTATTAGCTTGCATAACTAGAAAATTAAACTTAATTTTTATGTGACTTTATTTCAACCAGTGCTCCCTGCAAACTGAACTGCAAAAAGAATTTTGTGCTAAAATTTCATTTGAGTTAAATGAGAAATTTCTTACTCATTTTTTTATGTAAATATAATCAGGTCTTGGAGTTTTTGTATTTGTGTTATAAATGTCATGGTTGGAAGTCCCCGGCCAAGTTGGGGTTTTTTAATCACCAGTCTAAATCAAACTTCAAATCCTGATCAATGTAGTTATCCTGTTTTTTACCTAGCAAACATTTTCACAACAAAATTCATACATCAACAACACCGTCAGCCTCATCCCCCATTCCAAGCCCCTCCCCACTAAATTGAAAGATGCAGGAGTAAATCTGGACAGGTTTTGAGAACAGAAAATTTATTATAATTAGACTCAGGCATTAAAGAATAGTCTTTTTATCACCAAATCAAACTTTAACTATCCTGCTCAAATGTGGGCAGATTTAGAGAACAGGAAATTTATTGTAATAGCCATGAGAAAAGCAAGATTTATGGGCGTCAACTTCTTTATTGTGAATAACAGGAAGTAAGGCCAGTATCTCTGTATCACTGGCCTCCTCGTATTTGTATTCTACATCCAATGAGACCCGTGAAGATCCGGGGTAGAATAGGTCTTCAGCAACCCATGCTTGCCACAAAAGGCGACTATGCTTGTTGTAAGAGGCGACTAACGGGATCGGGTGGTCAGGCTTGCTGACTTGGTTGACACATGTCATCGGTTCCCAATTGCGCAGATCGATGCTCATGCTGTTGATCACTGGATTGTCTGGTCCAGACTCGATTATTTACAGACCGCCGCCATATAGCTGGAATATTGCTGAGTGCGACGTAAAACTAAACTCACTCACTCACTATATCCCATCACATCTATTACCGTGTTGTCTTAGTGTATCACTGGTCTCATGTTTGTATTACATATTCATGGATTTGAACCCTCTGTGATTAGATTTCCTCAACATTGTTAAACATGTAGTGCCTTGTGTATGTATATATATATATCCCCTAGATAGTCCCTACCATTCACCTGATGAAGGAGCAAGCATATGCTCCAAAACGTCGTGTTATTCCTAATAAAGAAGTTGACATCCATAAATCTTGCTTTCCTTATGCATTCCACTTCTACATCGCAGCCCTTCAAAGTTTTGATAGCCATGAGGCATAAAAGAACTGCCCAGAACACGGTAATAACATTAATTCTCACAGATTTTTTGCCACGTGGTATTTCTGTCACAGCTGGAGTAGTGGTCAGGTTTGTTATCAATGAAGGGTCGTGTTGGTAGGCATATAGTTCTTATCAGGACCTGTCCATCGTCTTGAAGTATGACGTTGATCCGATGAAGTGAATTATCTGTTTGACACCACTCTACTGTCCCAGGCCCTGATAACAACAACAGTGACGTCAACATCGTCTTGTTTTCATCTTGTGTCTGTGTCACGTGTCGAAACCGATTGTGTACTTTTGTAGGTGACTGACTGAGTATAGTTTTACGCCGCTTTTAGCAATATTCCAGCAATATCATGGCGGACACCACACCACAAGTGACCCATGCGAACGCTTTAACCACATGATGGCTACCCCACCGCCCCTTTTCTGTAGGTGAATCTTCCGACATAATTTAACTCCCCTCATGCAAACAGCTCCGTTCTTGTACAGCCATCTAGATTAGGAATAATTGTCAAGGGGTCAAACGGTTCATATTTAAGAGTCAACCCGTGAAGATCTGGGTGAGAATTGATGCAAGTAACCTATGCTTGTCGTAAGAGGCGTCTAACAGGATGAGATTTGCTGCTTGGTTGGCACATGTCATTGTTTCTCAATTGCGTAGATCGATGCTCATGCTGTTGATCTCTGGATTGTCTGATCCAGACTTCGATTACTTACAGACTGCTGGAATATAGCTGAGTGGGGTGTAAAACTAAACTTACTTACTGATTCACTCACTCACTCCTATTTAAGGGTCCCTATGTTATGGTTGAGTCAAAAAAATCTAAAACCTCAGTCATCAACAGACTGCTTCATGGTCTAGTAGATAGGGTGTCTTCCCAGAAAGGGAAGGTCTGTGGTTCAATCAAGGCTGTGTCATTAAACAATGGTACTTGTTGTTAACCAGCCTGGAGCTTGGCAGGAGGGGTCAACTTGGGGCTGGTCAGTTCTGGGTCAGTATACTGTGTCTGGGTGGGGCATTCATGTTAAACTGTGACATGGTATCACAGGGGACTGCACTATAACCTGGCATCAGCATGGATTAGTACAGGCAGGACAATTTGCCTTTGGAAAATGGTAAAATTCTGTAAAAACACTCCTTCAATGGCATACTGATGGCATTAACATAGAACAATAGCAGAGACGAATTTGTTCAAGAGGCCTTGAATTGGAAATGTGTATAATTCAGGGCTGGGACGGGTGGATAGTGAGTTGGACCTGGGTACCCATCTCAATACCCGGACCCGTTATGATCATGCGACTAATAGATTAAACAATGTAATATATTATTCTTTCATGATTAAAAAGTTGTATTGTCTTTGAGGATTTAGGCATAATTACAGTCACTTCATTTAAATATAATAACATGGTTAAGATATTAAAAAACTCAAACTTTTAGTCTCCGAGCTGAAAAATCTATCGACCTTTCTTACAAATTTGATGTCAGGATGGGTATCCAGGTAGGGTAAGGGAATGGGGGGTAGGGTACCCGGGTAGAAAATTTGGATCCGTCCCAGCCCTAGTGTCATTCTATAAAATACTGTATATATATCTAGGGGTACGGCAAAGGAATTGTTCAAAATGATTGGATATAATTTCTAGTTGCCCCTTATAGCTACATTTTCTCTCATGCACATGCACACTGCATAAACACACACCGCATAGACACACACACACACACACACACACACACACACACACACAGCACACACACACACACACACACACACACACACACACACACACACACACACACCATATTAAACTCACAAACCTGTTGAATCTTTAAAAGGTGATAATCCATACAAGCATTTAATCACAGTACATGAGTGAGTGAGTGAAGTTTTACATTGCTTTTAGCAATATTCCAGAAATATCTCGTGGGGGACATCAGAAATGACACTAGGCTACCCACTAACCGCCCCTTCTGTAGGTGAATCTTCCGACATAATTTAACTCCCCTCATGCAAACAGCTCCATTCTTGTACAGCCATCTAGATTAGGAATAATTGTCAAGGGGTCAAACGGTTCATATTTAAGAGTCAACCCGTGAAGATCTGGGTGAGAATTGATGCAAGTAACCTATGCTTGTCGTAAGAGGCGTCTAACAGGATGAGATTTGCTGCTTGGTGGGCACATGTCATTGTTTCTCAATTGCGTAGATCGATGCTCATGCTGTTGATCTCTGGATTGTCTGATCCAGACTCGATTACTTACAGACTGCTGGAATATAGCTGAGTGGGGTGTAAAACTAAACTTACTTACTGATTCACTCACTCACTCCTATTTAAGGGTCCCTATACAAAATCTAAAAATCTAAAACCTCAGTCATCAACAGACTACTTCATGGTCTAGTAGATAGGGTGTCTTCCTAGAAAGGGGAAGGTCTGTGGCCCAATCCCAGGCTGTGTCATTAAACAATGGTACTTGTTGTTAACCAGCCTGGAGCTTGGCAGGAGGGGGTCACATTGGGGCTGGTCAGTTACGGGTCAGTATACTGTGTCTGGGTGGGGCATTCATGTTAAACTGTGACATGGTATCACAGGGGGACTGCACTATAACCTGGCATCAGCATGGATTAGTACAGGCAGGACAATTTGCCTTTGGAAAATGGTAAAATTCTGTAAAAACACTCCTTCAATGGCATACTGATGGCATTAACATAGAACAATAGCAGAGACGAATTTGTTCAAGAGGCCTTGAATTGGAAATGTGTATAATTCAGGGCTGGGACGGGTGGATAGTGAGTTGGACCTGGGTACCCATCTCAATACCCGGACCCGTTATGATCATGCGACTAATAGATTAAACAATGTAATATATTATTCTTTCATGATTAAAAAGTTGTATTGTCTTTGAGGATTTAGGCATAATTACAGTCACTTCATTTAAATATAATAACATGGTTAAGATATTAAAAAACTCAAACTTTTAGTCTCCGAGCTGAAAAATCTATCGACCTTTCTTACAAATTTGATGTCAGGATGGGTATCCAGGTAGGGTAAGGGAATGGGGGGTAGGGTACCCGGGTAGAAAATTTGGATCCGTCCCAGCCCTAGTGTCATTCTATAAAATACTGTATATATATCTAGGGGTACGGCAAAGGAATTGTTCAAAATGATTGGATATAATTTCTAGTTGCCCCCTTATAGCTACATTTTCTCTCATGCACATGCACACACACGCAAACACACACACGCAAACACACACACGCAAACACACACACGCAAACACACACACACACACACACACACACACACACACACACACACACACACACACACACACACACACCATATTAAACTCACAAACCTGTTGAATCTTTAAAAGGTGATAATCCATACAAGCATTTAATCACAGTACATGAGTGAGTGAGTGAAGTTTTACATTGCTTTTAGCAATATTCCAGAAATATCTCGGCGGGGGACATCAGAAATGACACCACATAGATTCAAAAGAGGTGAAATTGTTGAAATTAGAATAAGAAGAGAAATTGTAAGTAATTGAAATAATTGCATAATCATTGACCAAATGTGAACCGCCTGAAATTGAACTTATTCAAACTATCATGCATTTCTGTCAGCGGAATCAATCAGAGCACACTAATGAGACCCCTTACTGCCAGGCGCCTCTGATAAGTGATGGAGTGGATGACGTCACTGGGGATGTGGGAGATTTTGTCGTATACACGTTACACCATGTGGAAAATGGTGGAGTTAAATATAGGAGAGTCATTGTAAAAATCTTTTGTTCATATGTTGATAATGGCTAGGTTAATGTCCCTTGTGTGCTGGTAGAATAGTTCCTGATTATTGACAAATAGTCCAGTTAATGTTCTTAAAGTTGACTGCCTTCTGGTGGTTAAAATGTGGAAACCTTTGTGTTGAAACTGGTGACAATATTCCATTTTAACATAATGTTAGATATTTCCGTGGTAGTTGTCATGTGAAGATCTTTGTGTTGAAACTGGTGACAATATTCCATTTTAACATAATGCTGGATATTTTCCTGGTAGTTGTCATGTGAAGACCTTTGTGTTGAAACTGGTGACAATATTTTAGTTAAACATCAAAATGTTGGATATTTTCCTGGTAGTTAGAATATGAAAATTGTTGAAACTATTGACAAATATTGCAATATGACATTACATCATGAAGGGAGATTGAAATAAAAGATGAAATTATTGAACTATGAGTGTTTGTTGCGACAGTTTGCTGTATCCTTGACTTGGACTTCTTTGATTGATTTCAATGGACTTGTCGTATTTTATTGAGAAATGTTATTTTTTGTAGATGACACATACATGAAGTTGGCAGTGGAGACCCTGGAGGAGCTAGACTGGTGTCTGGACCAGCTAGAGACCATCCAGACACATCGCTCCGTCAGTGACATGGCATCTAGCAAGGTAAGCCTTGGTTTTGTTCACACCGTTCCGTCAGGGACATGGCATCTAGCAAGGAAAGCCATCACTCTATCAGAAACACGTCATCTAGCAAACTTTTACATGTATATGATTTACACTTTTGACAATTTCTTAGCCCTTCTGACTCGTCAAGCCGAAGACCCGGGTTCGAATCCCCACATGGGTACAATGTGTGAAGCCCATTTCTGGTGTCCCCAGCCGTGATGTTGCTGGAATATTGCTAAAAGCGGCGTAAAACCAAACTCAGTCAGTCAGTCAGTCTTAGCCCTTCAAAGTCTCTGAAGATCACTATCAGTTTTAATCATATTTCCTATATCATATAAATAGTAAGGAATATTTTCCCTATGAAAGACTGTTGTGCTCAGCTTATCTGGACTTACCCATTATAAGGAAAGAATTATTGTACATCCATGGACTTATCTTTTAAGACAAAATATTATTGATGTCAACTTCTTGTTTATTCTATACACAACGTTGTTTCTGGGCTTTTCCTTGCCCCTTTGTCAGGTGAATAGTAACATGGACTTATCATTCAGTACAACCTCATCACAAGGCTAATGATTTTCCTGAGATATGAATTTCATATTATATTCATTATCAACCATTAATTGATTATCAACTTGTCAAAAAACAATGATCACTTTAGAAAGAAAAATGTCCGCCATTTCCCAAAACAAGGTCCTTCTAAGCCCTGAAGGCAGTGGCCAGAAGCAATGCCCCGAAGGCCACAGTCCTGTTCCAACTCCTGGAGTTGATGAATGTGTTGCACTTGGGATATGTCTCCTTAGATCATATAATTATATATGTGACTGAGGCAATACAGTGGTGATGATGGATAGTCTCACTGCACCAGGTCACCCTTTACCCTATGCCATCTATTCTACAGGACTAGAAGACAAGGTTAGGGAGTTCTTGTCTGGGGATAATGTATTTTTAGGCATACATCATCATCTTCTATCAGAGTTTATGCAGTGACATGACAGTCCATACCTTGTTCCAGCAGTTCTGGGGGCTTTAACCAGAAAGAATAGGGCATATCATTGTTTTTTTATTTAAGAATGCTAACCCTCAATCTCTGGGTAGTCAGTAATAAACTATTTAATTAACTTAAATATATGATTATTGTTTTTTAAATTGCAGTTAATTAAATTTAGAAATTTAAAAAGATAGAAGTTACATTTGTTCAAAGTGCAGGATTTAGAGCATTCATCCTGTTATATGCTTCTGTTTCTAATTCAGAGGGAGTTAGTGGGTATAGTTTTATGATATTTTTCCAATATTCCAACAATATTACTATATCTTGTGGTAAATGTTCTTGGCAATGCTGCACACCCAAGCATAACTTCACACCCAATTTTGCCAAAATTCATGTAGACAATATTGAATGAAATATTTAATGGAAAGGATATAATTTGTTACAAATATAAGTCTAGACATACTATTTTATTTCCATATGGTGTGATAACAAAATAAAACTTGTATACTTCAGTTTGGGTTTGTCTATGTAGGGCCCATAAAAGTTCTGAGTCCTGTACTGGGATTCAAACCACAGACCTGTTCTGAAGGTGGACTCCTTGTCCACAAGACCAACCAAGATATCATTCAGACGTTGGCCCAACATTGGCAATGGTTTTGCCAACATTGCCAATGTTGGGCCAACGTCCGAATGCTATCTGGGAAAGAGGTTAACCTCCAAGAGGATGTCACCTGTGGGATGACTGCATGGCCTGTTACATTTACGTGGTATTTCAAGTGCTCACTGTACTGTTGGTGCGTTTGGGGAAAAACATTAAACCTGATTCCATATGTGGATAATGTCTCTACTCTGTGAAGCTGGATTGTTTGGAGTGAGTGAGGTTAGTTTTTATACAGCACTCAGCTATATGGTGGCAGTCTGTAAATAATTGAGTCTGGACCAGACAATCCAGTGATCAACAGCATGAGCATCGATCTACCCAGTTGGGATACAATGACATGTGTCAACCAAGTCAGCGAGCCTGACCACCCGATCCCGGTAGTCACATCTTACAACAAGCATGGGTTACTGAAGATCAATTCTAATCCAGATCATCATCGGTTGGATTGTTTGGAAAGGAGTGAGAAAGACTTAAGATATTTCATGATTATAGCTGTCTCATTGAAATCAGATCTTAATTGTCTACTGCTAAACTACTATCTGAGGGCGTCCAATAACAGGTCATGTCAGACTCTACTGCCTTGTGGTTAGTTTGAGTTGTACACTCCCCATGGAGCTGAGAATGGAAATAGAGTGCATACCAATAAATCAACACAGTAATGAAGTTCTTAGAGCATGCTTGGGTTGGGGCATTATAAATATTATTGTTGTCATATAAATGTCTTCACGAAACCATGGTTACCAGAACAGGTGTGAGTAAAATTTCAGTGATGTCCAAAAATATCACAGAACTAAATCTATTATAAGTACATCATCAAAAGAATGTGTATTTTTTAAACTTCTTGTGCTTGGGATGTATTTCAGAGATCTTTCACAAGTTGATCGTCTATTGTACGACATTAAATGCAATGGTTAAGAATTAAGGTACACAGAATTAAGAGTACCAGAACTTTAATAGGGCACTGTGTCGAATCTATTGAAATACATCTTCAAATACCTCTCCCTGCACGCCCTTCTTTTTTATGGAAACTAGAAATAGTCCAGGTTTCCCCTGAGGCTGGTAGCAAGGACGTTCTGTTATCATGTCTTTTACTGGACGCATTGAAGACCAATATATTTAGAAATTGGACATAGATTGTATTAAAGGTTTGGACAGAAATAGGAGCTGTGTGGACAGTGACAGTTCAGTTTCTTTGTCGTGCACCATCCCTGGTGTTCTAATCGGAGCGTCGTCTACAGGAGCAGCCCTTAATGAATAGCTATGGAGGCCAGTATTGCTCACAGGAATAGTTAATCTACCATTACGATTAATTGCTAACGTGTGGATCTTTATGATGATGAAAAAGAAAGTATTTCTGACACTTTTTAGGTCTTTTTTGGACACTGAAGGATTGATTCATGTTAAAAATATCCTTACTTTGAATGTTCTATAAAGTTCATAAAGGGGTAGTAAATGCTTATGATCAAGCTGCAATCATACAGTAGACTACGCTTTCAGCAGAGATTTCTTTTGGTTAAGGAAATTAGTTTTGTCGCTATTTTTTCTATATCAGAACAAAGGATTAAACATCTATTACTTTTTTGTATGTAGAGCAGTTTTTTGTGTTTTTTTGCTTGTATTGAAATTGATGCGAAGGATGAAATGATTTTGAGACATATTATTTGGGGCAGTATCCTGAGTGAGATTAGTGCAGCTTTTGATAAAAGAAGACATACATGCTGACATGAATATTATAGGGATTCTGAGATGGGGAAAAAAAGTGTGATTCACAGAATCCTTTGAGACACATCACGTCTAATATGACAAATTACATTTGCTGTTCTTTTTATTAGAGTAATTATATAAGAACCATTAAGGCTGTTGCAAAGCTAATGTGATTATGTTAGGATTGAGGGCTGGAGTGAATATGAGGAACAGATCTGGAGGCTTTAGGTCAGTAGGATTGCTGACTTGTGTCCTAGTTTTTGTAAGCCATTGATTAGTCTGTGGAATAAGCCTTGGACCTGTGAACCAGTGAGTGGGACGAAGAGGAATGGCTTACTTTTATGAAACTGAATGTCAAGAATTGTCAAGGACAGTGTGGATACAGTTTGGTTAGGTCTTTGAAGTTTGTGTCAGATGATGTAGTCTGGGTTCCCCTGGGCATAGTGTTGACCTTGCTGCTCAAGGTCGAGTCTGTTGCTGTCTTGATGGTTGGTCACTGGAACAGGAATCAGAGCAAGTGAATGTAATGTACGTTGCTGAGCCTTCACAAGCACCAAAAACTTTAAGTTCATCCATTCATCTGTCCATCCACCCACCCATTCACCCATCCGTCCATCCATCCATGCAATATCCATCCATCCACTCATTCACCCATCCATCATCCATGCAATATCCATCCATCCACCCATCCATCCATCCATCCATCCATGCAATATCCATCCATCCATCCATCCATGCAATATCCATCCATCCACCCATCCATCCATCCATGCAATATCCATCCATCCACCCATTCACATCCATCCATCCATGCAATATCCATCCATCCATCCATCCATCCATCCATCCATCCATCCATCCACCCATCACCCATCCATCCATCCATCAATATCCATCCATCCACCCATCCATCCATCCATGCATCCATCCATCCATCCATCCATCATCCATCCATCCATCCATCCATCCAATATCATCCATCCATCCATCCATCCATCCATCCACCCATCCATCCATCCATCCATCCATCCATCCATCCATCCATCCATCCATCCATCCATCCATCCATCCATCCATCCATCCACCCATCCATCCATCCATCACCCATCCATCATCATCCATCCATCCATCCATCCATCCATCCATCCACCCATCCATCCATCCATCCATCCATGCAATATCCATCCATCCATCCATCCATTCACCCATCCATCCATCCATCCATGCAATATCCATCCATCCATCCATCCATCCATCCACCCATCCATCCATCACCCATCCATCCATCCATCCATCCACCCATCCATCCATGCAATATCCATCCACCCATCCATCCACCCATCCATCCATCCATCCATCCATCCATCCATCCATCCATCCATCCATCCATCCATCCACACCATCCATCATCCATCCATCCATCCATGTAATATCCATCCATCCATCCACCCATCCATCCATCCATCCATCCATCCACCCATTCACCCAATCCATCCAGAAGGGTTCATCAGAGTTAAGGTCATACGGGGATAACCATATCTACTTGGTCACACACCAGTGAAGATCCGGGTTAGTTTGATCTCCAGTAACCCATGCTTGTCGTAAAAGGTGACTAACAGGATTGGGTGGTCAGACTCGCTG